TGCTGAAGGTATTGTCTTTTCCCCATTGTATGTTCTTGATTCTTTTGCTGTAGATTAGCTGACTATAAGTATATGGGTTTATTTCTGGACTCTATTCTGTCCATTGATCCATATGTCTGTTTTTGTGCCAATACCACACTTTTGATTACTATAGCTTTTTAAGACTGGGAGAATTATGTTTCTTGCTTTGGCAATCTTGAGTCTTTTATGGTTCCATATAAATTTGAGGATTATTCTGGTTTCATGAAAAATGTCACAGGTAATTTGATAAGGATCACTTTAAATCTGTATATTGCTTTGGATAGTATGGCCATTTTAACAGTCTTAAATCTTCCAGTCCAAGAGCATGGGATATCTTTCCATGTCTTTGAACAGTCTTTGATTTCCTTTATTAACATTTTGTAGTTCTCAGCATATAAGTCTTTCACCTTTTTGGTGAGGTTTATTACTAAATATTTTTTGATGTAATTTTGAGATAGTTTATATTCCCTTTCTGATACATCATTGTTAGTGTAAAGAAATGCAACCCATTTCTGTATGTTACTCTTAACATCCTGCTGCCTTGCTGAATTTATCAGTTCTAATAGTTTTGAGTGGAATCTTGGGTTTTCCATGTATAGTATGCATATGTATTATGCATCTGCATATAATGACAATTTTGCCTTCTCCCTACCAATTTGGATACCTTTTATTTCTTTTCCAATTGCTCTGGCTAGGACTACTATCTTGAATAGAAGAGGTGAGAGTGGGTATTCTTGTTTCAGATTTTAGCAGGAAGGCTTTCAGCTTTTCACTATTATTACACTGATCATGGGTTTGTCATAGTTTTTATTATGTTGAGGTATGTTCCCTGTATACCCACCTCCATAAGAGTTTTTATCATAAGTGGATGTTGAGTTTTATCAAATGCTCTTTGTATCTGCTGAGATGACCGTGTGGTTTTTGTCTTTTGTTGACATGTATCACGTTGATTAATTTGTGTATGTTGAACTTCCCAAGTGACTGACCCTGCAGTGAATCCAACCTGGTCGTGGTGCATGAAGTTTGTTTTGTTGGAGTTGGCTTGCTAATTATGACTGTTCATCCCCGCTTGCAGCTTGATCCCCTCTTCCTGCCACCTCAATGAGGTCTAGCTAGCCTTCCTTAGCATTGAATGGTATTCCAGTTATCTATTACTGTTTATTTAGCAAACCACTCCCAAAACTTACTGCTGTAAAACAATATCCATTTTATCATGTGTACAATTCTGAGAGTCAGGAATCTGAGCAGAGCAGAGCACGTCTGCTCCTCTGCTCCATGATATCTGGGGCCTCCACTGGGGCCATCTGTCTGAGACCCTGGGTGTGGCATCTCTTGGCGCTCGAATGTCTGGTATCACTCCTTCACTTCATTTATCTAGAGCCTGGCCTGGGATGGCCGCAACTGCTGTTTCTCTCCTGGCAGCCTCTTCCCCTGGCCAGCTTGGAGATACAGCGTGGTAATCTCAAGAGGAGATGTTTTTCTATGTGGCTGGTTGCCCTCAGAGTGAGTGTTCCATGAGGTCCAGGTAGAAGCTGCAAGACCCTCACAATCTAATCTCATAAGTCCCAGCATGTCACTTCTGCACATTCTGCTAGTTAGGAAAGTCAGGATAGCTGATCCAGATTCAAGGAGGTGAAAGAACAGACTAGTCCTCTCAATGTGAGCACCGTGGCATGAGGGAAGCAGAAGAGTGATGGCTGCCACCCTGGAGACAAGCTGCCACACGTGGGGAGGGTGGGAACATACCTTTTTTGAAGCATAGTTGACTTACAATATTCCAGGTGTTTATATAAAATACAGTGGATTGGCAGAATTGATACAGAGAGATTCAGTTTGAGTCAGAGTTACCAACCTAGGCATCTGCTTTTATATATATTCTTTTTTCAGATTCTTTTCCATTATAGGTTATTATAAGATACTAAGTATATATAGATATAGTACATAAGACACTGAGTATACGTAGCCCTGTGCTATACAGTAGGCCTTTGTTTTTCTATTTTATATATAGTAGTGTATGTTAATCCCAAACTCCCAAGTTGTCCCCTGACCTTCCCCTTTAGTAACTGTAAGTTTTCTATGTCTGTGAGTCTGTTTTGTAAATAAGTTGATTTGTATCATTTTTAAAGATTCCACATATGTGATATCATATGATATTTATCTCTTACTACACATAGTATGCTAATCGCTAGGTCTGTGCATTTTAAAATGGAATTATTTCATTTTTTATGAGTAATATTCCCTTATATACCACATCTTTATCCATTCATCTGTTGATGGACTTTAGGTTGCTTCCATGCCTTGGCTATTGTAAATAGTGCTGCTATGAACATTGGGGTATATAAATCTTTTCAAATTAGTTTGAAAGAACATAGACTTTTGGGTCACAAATATTGGTTCATACCACTGCTTTGTAACTTTCTAGCTTGTGATGTCAGATTAACCTTTCTGAGCCTCAGTTTCCTTATCTACAAAATAAGGATAATGATATTCAACTGCAGATGATTATGGTAAACTTTATTGGTTGGTTCAGTGCCTAATATCTGCAAAGTCCTCACTTTTTAACAGTAGCTGTGTTACCTATAGTAACAACTAGTAGTGTTATTACTCCAGCTTGGCCTTTAGATATTCATTCAGTCATTCATTCAGCAAACAAGCATCCCTGCATGCCTGCAGCGTGCCAGACACTGGCCTCCCCACTTGTGAAGATGATGATATGTTGTAAGCAGAGACTAATCGGGGTTTCGGGTTTTTTAATCAGTGTCCCTGGATGCCAGGCAGCATCTCTGGGGTCAGCAGGCCTGGCTCAGAGGAGGAAGGAAGGGCATGTCACTTAAGCCGCTCTGATCTGATTGTGGTATCCCTTTTGGTCCTGAGTCTCCTGCTGTCACAGTAACTCTCCTCCCATCTTAAATAGTGAGGATGGTATTAAGAAGAGGCGGGGGAAACAAACCCCCATCCCCATTCAGATGTGCGTCCTCAGGTCCCATCTGCTGAGTCCCTCAAGGGCCCCGGGACTCTCTGCAAGCAAAGCCCCAGAAGCTGCTCCTTGCGGGCTATTGCTGGCATCCAGGATCGAAGCCTTAAACACCGAGATGACAGAAAGCGTAGGCAAGGTAACAATGCCCAGCTCTTGACAGATCATAAAACAACAACTCTCAAAATGAGCATTCTAAATAAAATGAAAAGCCAAGACACCATGGAGAATGCAAGCCAGACAAGGAGAGGCCACCTGGCAGGAACCTCATGGGCTGGTCGGGTCTGTGTGTCTCATCTCAGTGGTTTCCTACCACTGGGGACTTCTTTTAAAAGAAAGGGTAGAGCTTCTAACCAGAACCTTTCAAAAACCTTTAGCCTTCTGATAATAGTCTTGTGAAAATCTCACCTGCTCAAATAGGCTTCATTTGAAGACACTGAAGCTGTAAGTAAATCTCACTTTCAGGAACTTGTTTTTAGGTTAACGATAAAGGAATTCACACTCATTAAGCACCTTTGTCCCAGAATCAGAAAGCTGCATGTTACAGAATCGCTGAGTCTGCCATCTTTCCCTCAGTCCAGCTGCCCGCCTAGAGCACAAAAACCTGCTACCAACAGATGGACAACCACCATCTATCTCCACAGCAGCTGTGAACAAGACGAGCCCAGACTTCGTGGGGGCAGTTATGCCCGGAGCCCCCTTTCCAGGGGACCACACTGGTCGTGACGTGAGGGCTCAGCCCTCCTCCACTAGCATTTGTTGGTACATTGCTAATTTCCTGGTCTGACTCATCTTAGGAGGCAAATAATGGCCCATGCTCATTGAAGGAAGAGCTTGGCTGGCTGTGTGAGGCTCAGCGTCTCCAGTAAGCAGACGTCTGTCTTGTGGGGTGTCGCTTCTTCACCTGTGTCTCTAAAGAGAAGACATGTCCTCTGAGACTGGTTCCCGACAGTCGGGCATGGATCTACACTCTGGTCAGGGTGGAAACCCACAGGTTCTTCCACAGGGCCTCTCACGGCCATCCTGCATCTCCCTCCTCCTTCAAGAGGGAACAGTCCCCACCAGACCCCTCAGAGTCATGGGAGTTGAGCTGTTCTGTGTCCTGGATTGAGGCGGCAGGGTCACAGATGCAAAATCAGCAAAGTTTTTCTGGTTTTGAGAAACCACACACAGATATCTAGGGATGTTCATCAGCGAGGAAACTTGGGACAGACCTTGCTGGCACTCAGCTGGGGCGGTGGTAACTCACTGTAACCCGTAGACATCCGGCTCATTGATGTGCTGTTGAACTCAGGTCTTATTTTCTCAGTGAGAGAAGATGGGGTGGGACAGTGCTCAAAAGAGAAGGCAGAAGTGCAGTAGGAACCTGGAGGAGAGAAGCCAGACGTCATCCTGAGGAGAATGAAGAAGGTCTGAAGGTCTGAAGAAAAGAACTTCTCCTAGGCGCTGTGTGGCATGGCATTCGGGCAGAATCTCCTGTCTCTCACTGATTTGGTGATAAAATATGGAGTGGGCCCACAAGGAGAGCAGACGCCTCAGGAAATAGATGGATAGTTGGCTCTGTTTGTGTGCTCGCTGCTGTGACTGCGAGACGCCACACCAGCATGACTAATGCCTCTCCCCTCTGCCTAAATTAGACTGTGATTGTGTTTCAGAGATGTTCACTGAATCACAGATGTTGGACTTAAAGAGACCCAAACTTCTCAGGAGCACCTCCTGGGGAGTGTGTGGGCTCACCCTCACAGGCTGAGGGACCAGTGTAACCCCTTCCCTTCCAAGGCCTGGGAGCAAAACAGGCACCCAGGGGGAAGTGGGGTTCCAGGGCGGGCTCCTTGGGGTGGCTGTAAGCATGTGCATTGCAGCAGTGACTTGATGCCTCATGCAGACCCTAACTTGGACCCAGAGTGTGCAGTCTGTCAGATTTCCCCTGACGCGCTGCCATGTCAGGTGGAACAGCTGCAGGTCCTCGCCGGCTCACCCGCTCAGTGACTGTTCTGACCTGCAGGATGCTGCTGTAACGCCTTCCCATTTCTCTTGCAGAACCTAGCCTATGAGATCATCCTGACGCTCGGACAGGCCTTTGAAGTCGCCTACCAGCTCGCGCTGCAAGCCAGGAAAGGGGGGCATTCCTCCACGCTTCCAGAAAGCTTTGAAAACAAGCCCTCCAAGCCCATCCCCAAGCCCCGTGTCAGCATTCGCAAGTCGGTGGTAAGTAGACAAGACACAGATGTTCTGAGAACTGGAGGGAAGGATCTGTGGTGGTGTGGGTGCTGGTGAGAATCCAGGGCCTGCCCTTCCTGTCCTCCCCTCAGCCCAGTTCCTGCAGTCTTGGGGACCATCTACTGAACCTGGAGGCTCCCGAGAAAATCCCACTTGCTCTGTGGCCTGCAGCAGCCTGGGAGGGGGCTGGGTGCTGCTGTCCCGGGTCAGTCTCTCCTCTCGATCCAGGCTACTTGGGGACCAAGATCCCTGAGGCCTCAGCTGCCACCCTTGCAGGGGGCAGGCCTCTTCCAGGCCACTGGGCAGCAGAGAGGTTGGCAGAGGCTTACAGCAAGGGTGCCCCTGGTACCCAGCAAGTAGAAGCTGGGGGCTCAAGCTGTGCACGGACCCAGGGTTGCAGGGGGTGGGGATGGGAGAGGCCTGGGCACCAGGCCCTGTGTTCTCCCGGCAGCAGCTGAGGCATCCTGCAGAGCGGGCCTGTTCAGAAGGTACTGCCCCTCCTGCTCGCATCTGCCTTCCTCCAGGAATTTCCTCCCCTTCCCTCCCACATGCTCTGCACACATCCTGTCCTAACAGACTTTCCTGACTTCAAAGCGGCCTCCTCTGGTAGTAGCAGTACCCAGAAGCTGGAATGTTTCCAGCCTCACGTCTGGTTTCTGCTGCCGTATGGCATCCTTGGAACTCTGGGACTCTGGGCAGCAACACCATCCCAGAGGCATCGCTCTCACATCCATGTATCCTTCCATCTGTGACTCTCCTCCTCCTCCCCACCAACCCCAGGTCATGGGGAATTGTAGGGTTTTTAATGTTTGCAGAAACACCATGCTTGGAGACCATGCGGCTTCTTGTGACACTCACATCTCAGAGTTTTTCTTCCACCTCACCATTCACACCCATGCTTGTCCCTCACTGACCACTGCCAGGAACTGCACATCCTCCCACCTCAGCATCTCCCAGCCCCGCACCTACAGGTCCAATTTCTCCTTTGATACTTAGCAGACAGCTGAAACTTACTACACCCAGAACAGAATGCTTGATCTCTCCACAAAGCTGTTTCTCTGTCCCCACCTTTGCCAGCTTAGTAAACAGGCTAACCAGTCGCCAAGTTGCTCAAGCCATCAATCTAGAAGGCAGCCTTGATTCCTATCTTCCTCTCACCCCTGTATCCAGCCCACAAGCAGATTCCATCCATTCAGCCCCTAAAACATCTCTCAGCTCATCCACTCCTCTCCATTTCTCTGTCACTCTTCCCATCTAGCCATCACCACCACATCTCCAAAACTACTCCAGCACACCTCCTGAAATTACCTTCCTCCACAGGGCAGCCACATCATGGTACCACAGCCTTGACTTCCCACCACACCCCTCCCAGACACTCAGCCTCCATATTCCTGGAATAGACAAAGCTTCCACCTACCTGTGTTCCCTCCACCTGGCTTCGTCCCCCCTCATTTCTGCACAGCTGACTCCAGTTGGCCATCCAGGCCCAGCTACACAAAGAGGCGTCTCCTATTTATTGTCTGTCTTACCCCACAGGAAAAGCAGGTTAAACATCCAGGAATTTTCAGAATATTTGGGGGACTAGCTCTAGTCTATTGTATGCATTCCCATGTGGGCTGGATAAATCTGTTCCTACCTCCATCTGACTTTTCTTTGGTCCCTGTAGACTTCTTCCAGGCAAGTATGCAGGGATGTGCACCATAAGGGCTCGTAGAATATTTAGAAGCCTTCAGAAAAAGATGGAACATACAGTGAATAATACTGCTGCTCTTTAACTGCCCCAAGATCCCATCCCCCTCAGCAGGTGTCTTGTGTTCCATTTCCCTCAGACCCAAAACTATTGTTGAGAAACATCCTGTGATTAGACATGTGAAGTTCCCCCACAGCCTTGTGGAGGTACAGACAAATCACAGGCAGCTGAAAAGCAGGAACCCCATAGCCTTCTGGTAGCCCCCTTGTTCCAGGTTTCCTGAGCAGAGCAGGTGTCCAAGGGCAGAAGTAGAAACACCAAGGAAAGAGGGGGAAGTTTGGTGCAGAACTGCCCCAGCCCCCTCCCCGTCACCGTGAGAGCTTAGAACTCAAGCTTTACCCGGGCAGGTCTGCGTGACCTTGTACAGGTGTTGACGTTTTATAGCTCAGTTTGGGTCGAGGTCGAGGCTCAGCCTGACGTGGCCCTGCTCACCTCCTTCCCCTCAGCACTCTGACTGCAAACCCTCACTCCCCTCCCCTTACCTCAGGACTCTGCACGTACTGCTCCCCAGGAAGCTTCATCTTCAGCTCTCCATTTAGACGTATACCTTAATTTTCAAATAATGTCTAGTTGACAGGAATGGATTGGGCGCCTGTTGTTTACTGGGAGCTTGTCAAAGTTGAGGGCACCCGCAGTAAACAGAACAAAGCCCACCTTTGTGAGCGCACATTTTAGTGGCAGATGAACAAATAAACATGATGCGTATGGCATAAGGATTATAAAGAAGCGAGCAGAAAAGCTGAGGTGCTAGTTTACATGCAGTAAACCGGTGAGGAGATGACGCTTGTGCCACACTAACATTAGGGCAGAAAGCACACAGGTGTCCGGAGTGTATTCAGACAGAGACCTGGTGGGCACAGAGGGCGTGGGCTCGGCAGGCAGGGAGCAAGAGGGAGGCTGGTGCGGCTGGAGCACAGAAAGGCAGGCAGGGCCCCCCGAGGTCCCCTCAAGGACTTTGGGTTTATTCTGACTCTGAAGGAAACCAATGGAGGTTTGAGAGCTAGGGAGGACATAGCCTGGCTCACCTCCTCCAGGAAGTCCCCCTGCCTCGCAGCACGGGGCCAGTGGCCTTCCTGGTGTCCACAGAGTGCCCTATTCCCTTTCAAATCTCACTTCTCAGTAAAGTGTTCCTGTATCCGCTCCCCGCCTGTGTGCCTTCAAGAGAAGGGCCATGCCTCACTCACTGTCCGCCCCCTCTCCGCTGTGCCTTGAACCTGTGCAGTCAACGTGATCAGAAGAAGCAACAAATGACTCACCCACCAGCATCCTGAAGTCTTGCCAGGGCGCAATGCTTATTTCCAGGCAGTGTTAGGATGCATGCGTGCACTCCTGAGCAGTTACCGTATAACAGGCATTAGCCTTTCTGTTCTAAAGCAGATCGACCCATCTGAGCAAAAGACTCTGGCCAACCTGCCGTGGATCGTGGAGCCAGGACAAGAGGCCAAGCGGGGGATAAATACCAAGTATGAGACCACGATTTTCTGATACTCACCTCCTTCCCGTCCTCGTGGTGCCTTGCACGCCGAGCAGTCCCGGAGCAGGCTTTCCACCCAGCCCGGGAGGAAGACTGCTCTGTTTGTGTGGCCTTGTCATGGGCGAGAGGCCACTGGCCACTCCTGGGGACGTTCTTTCTGCACCAGTGACAGAAAGTGCAACCAAGACTTTCCAGCCGTAACCCCTGAGAGAAAGAGCAGAGGTTTGTGGCTGACGCTTCCAACCCCAACTCCTGGCCACCACCCAAGGTATTTCTCATGACTCTGCCCCAACCTCGCTTTGCTGTTATTTGGGGATAACACCTTGCAAAAACACAGGGGATCGCTAATACTGCCTAAAAGTATAAAAATCTTGGGTTTATTTTTCACTGTCAGCAGTTTTCAAGGTAGAACAGAACTACCCCCAGAAAGCATCTCTAAAGTCATGATCTCACTAAGTATCGTTTCATGCAAGAGGACAGAAGTTACTCCCCTGATTGCCAGGGAATTCTATTTCCCAATTTCTATATTTGTGGATTTTATATGTAATCAACCATGTCAGATAAAGAAAACCTTTACATCTGTGGATTGATTCAAAAACCTAATGATTTAAAACAGAGGAATTTATTATGCACAGAAAAACGTGTCTTGTATTAAATATTTTTATTAAAAAGAATGTTTCACTAATGCATTGATAAGAAAACTAGGTTAGTCGTGAGGGATGTTTCTGGTTTCATTTCAAATAACTAAATTTCTACTGCTACCACCAAGAGGGCTGCTCAGAATGGCAGAGGACCCAGGCCACTCCCCAGAGCAGGAGATTTAGGCAGCAGACTGGCATCTTACCGAAAGTGCTGACGCAGCCGTAAGCCTGCAAAGATTTTTTTTTTTTTAATCTTCACAGTTTTAAAGAACATGTTAAAAAAATCTAGGGCTCCTGCCGTCAAGATTTCTGTCATGGAAACCTTGTTTGAGAAAGGTGTTAATAAAATTCTATTGCAAAAAACTTTTTTTCTAGAAAAAAAACAAATAAAAAAAAAGAGAGATTCCAAAGTAATAAAACTTTCTTGAAACAAAATAAATAAATGTTTGCTTACTCTTTGATTAAATAAAATTTACTTACATTTCTTTAAGGTATTTTAATTTTTTAATGTCTCTGTGGAGTATTTGTATGATACCATAATGTATATTTATGTAGAATCAAATTATATAAACAGTACCAATATCATAGAAAAAAATAACATTTTAATGTATATTGTTCTAACCAATCACATTGTGAATCATTTTGAAATTCATTATAGCGATATTGATAAATTGTGGGATTGTCTTAATGTTTTTTTTTAATTAACCAATATTATTTTAAATCTGAGATTATCAGTTACATCATCAGTTGGTGAGTTTTGAAGAAAGAAAACAATTTTATTTCAAACTGACAAATGTATATGGCTTTAGTTCAGTGTTAAAGAATTTTAATACAATATTAAATTACTTGAACTGAACAGTTCCTTGTATATATTTTGCCTATTCACTGTTGATATGTATGTAGTAAATTGAGAGTAAAATAACACTAAAATATGGTACCAAAAGGAAATTGTATAGGAGCAAAGTAAACAGTAGCTTTGCTGAAATGGAGACATATGTGTAAATATGCTTGGGCTTCCAGTTATAAATTTTGTAATTTTTGTCATTATTTATATCCTATTAAAAAAAAGCACATAAAATAAAATGGAAACTATACAGCTGCTGGTGCTTGGCATCATTCTGTGAGCACCTTCCCAGTTCCATTTCTAGGAAAGAACCAAAGGCTTAGCCTTCTCAGCATCCATAGTTAAATGAATTTTTTACTTGGCAAAACTGTTGAGGAAATTGGTTCATTTCCAAGTTCAGCCAGTCTGAGAAAGATGCAGTGGCCTTTACAGTTTGAATTCAGCCATAAAGCCACCATTGTCTTTGTTTAAATAGTAAAGTGGGCTATAACGAAGAACGGCTACAGGAGGGAAGGACCACCAAACTAGATCATTTTTATAAGTTTGTCTGAAGGCCTACATGTTTGTCTTAGGCTGCCATAACAAAATACTGGGTGGCTTAAACAAATTTCTTACAGTTCTGGAGGCTGGGAAGTCCAAGGTGGAGGTGGCAGCAAGGCAGGTTGCATTCTAAGGGCTTTTCTGTTGGGTTGGCTTGTTGGTGACGGCTCTCTCCTGCATGCGCACAGGACCTCTCCTCGGCGTGTGCCTGCAGAGGGTGGGGGTGCGCCTCTTCTTAAAAAGCACTAATCGCACTGTGAGGGCCCCACCCCCAAGGTCCCACCTCACCCTACTCTCCCAAAAGCCCATCTCCAGATACTCCCCGTGGAGCACTAGGACATCAGCATACAGACTGAGGGGACACAGACTTTCCATAACAACATTCATTTTTCCTAAAACACACGTGCCAGCTCTGGGTCGAGAGATAAAAGGGCCATGTTAGAGAGACACTGGAAAAATCAATGATTCACATTCCATATCCTATAACTTTCAGGAGAAGATCTCCCCACTGCTGGATCCAAGTGTGTTACTCTGCAAAACACATGCCGAGCCAATCTTGGTGCATTCCCCAGGAATTCTCCAGGCCAGAATACTGGAGCAGGTAGCCTTTTCCTTCTCCAGGGGATCTTCCAACCCAGGGATTGAACCCAGATCCCCACATTGCAGGTGGATTCTTTACCAGCTAAGGCACAGGGGAAGCCCAAGAATACTGGAGTGGGTAGCCTATCCCTTCTCCAGAGGATCTTCCTGACTCAGGAATCAAACCCAGATCTTCTGCATTGCAAGTGGATTCTTTACCAGCTGAGCTATCAGGGAAGCCCAATCCTCTTATTATCTCAGGATTAAGATGCTTATTTGTATCACTTATGGTCCCAGCATGAAGAAGATGGCACCCTCCAATTGGGAGAATTTTAGGAGATTAATAAATAAGAATACTTAGAGAAGTGTTGGCCGCATGTAGGGAACAGTATCAGTTGCGCTGCTACAGCCTGAGGGGAAGTGGGGACGGAGGTGGCCTGTAGAGGGGGCTGCCAGACAGGTGCCACAGGCCTCAGAAAGGGAGCCTGGGTTAAAATATGCTGACCTCGGGGAGAGCGGCCAAGATGGCAGTATACAAAGACCTGAGCTCACCTCCACTCCTGAGCACACCAGAATCACAACTATGAGCAGAACCACCATTGATAAAAAAGACTGGCAACCAGGAAAGATCTTCTATAGCTAAAGATATAAAGAAGGAACCACAGCTAGACAGGTAAGAGGGGCAGACTCACAATATAATCAAATCCCTTGACCCACCGGGTGGGTGACCCACAAACTGGAGATTAATTAAACTGCAGAGATTCTCCCACAGGAGTGAGTCTTGAGCCACATGTCAGCCACCCCCCGCCCCCGACCCAGAGGTCTGGCACCAGGAAGACAAGCCCCCAGAGCATTTGAAATTGAAGGCCAGCAGGGCTTAACTGCAGGAACCCCACAGGACTAGGGGACATAGAGACTTCATTTTTAAATGGCACACACAAAATCTCACATGCACCAGGACCCCGGGCAAGAGCAGTAATCTCATCGGAGCCTGGGCCAGACCCACCGGCTGGGCCTGGTGAGTGTCCTGGAGAGGCAGGGTGGAGGTGCAGGGGACACCTAGCTGCAGCTCAACATGAGGACATAGACCCTGGAGGCAGACATGTTGGGGAACATTCAAACAGATGAACACTATTGGCAGCTGACGTCTTGGCTCATTAGCACTAAGACCTGGCCTCACCCAACAAACTGTAGGTGCCAGTGCAGAGATGCCTCATGCCAAACGACTAACTGGGCTGGGACACAGCTCCCCACCCCCATCAGTCCAGACCCTACCGTGGGAGCAGATGGGCCCTGCCCAGCCCCCTAGCAGGCTAACACAATCTTCAGGACCTCATACCCAACTACTGTTAGGAACCACCACCACCACTAATCTGAAACAAGCTCTGGGATCCCTGGCCCTGCAGCCAGACTCCAGGAACCAGCTCTCCTGCCAGTAGTCTGGGACTAACCCCAGGACCTGGCTTCACCTGCCAGTGGTGGGTAGCAGCCCTGGAGTCTTCAGGACAAAAATGACAAAAATTAAAGAGAAAATATTAAAAGCAGCAAGAGGAAAGCAACAAATAACATACAAGGAAACTCCCATAAGGACATAACCTGACTTTTCAGCAGAAACTCTGCAGGCCAGAGGGAGAGGCACTATATATTTAAAGTGATGAAAAGGAAAAGCCTACAACCAAGAACACTCTACCCAATCAGGTTCACATTTAGATTTGATGGAGAAATCAAAAGCTTTAGAGACAAAAGCTAAAATAATTTACCACCACAAAACCAACTTTATGATAAATGTTGAAGGAAGGATTCCAAATGAAAAACAAGAAAATTACAGAAGGAAAAAGCTCACTGGTAAAGGCAAATATATAGTAAAGGTAGATAATCACCCACACACAAAACTAGTAGGGAGGTTAAGAGACATAAGTAGTAAAATCATCTGTATCTGCAATAAGCAGTTAAGGGTACACAAAACAATTTGATATAAAATATGATATCAAAAACAGTAATCATGAGGGAAGGAGTATACAAACACGGGGTGTTTAAAACACAGTTGAAATTAAGAGATCAGCAACTTAAAATAATCATGTTTATTTATAGATGCTACACAAAAGCCTCATGGAAATTACAAACCAAAAATCTATAAAAGATAAAAAGGAATTCAAACATAACACTAAAGATAGTCAAATCACCAGAAAACAAAAGAAAGGGAAAAAAGACCCACAAAAACAAATCCAAAACAGTTAACAAAATGGCAGCAAGAACATACATACTGATCATTACTTTAAATGTAAACAGACTAAACGTGCCAGCTAAAGGACATACACTGGCTGAATGGATAAGAAAAGTACAATCTGTACATATGCTGCCTAGAAAAGGCTCACCTCAGGTTTAGAGACACATACAGACTGAAAGTAAGGGGATGGAAAAAGGTATTCCACTCATGGAAAAATTTTTTTAAAAAGCTGGAATAGCCATACTTGTATCAGATGAATGGGCTTTAAATAAAGACTGTTAAAAGAGACAAAGAAGAACACTGCATAATGATGAAGGGATCAATCCAAGAAGAAGACAACAACAACAAATACATATGCATCCAGCACCTCAATATATAAGGCAAATCCAGATGGCACTAGTGGTAAAGAACCTGCCTGTCAATGCAGGAGACCTAAGAGATGAAGGCTGGATCCCTGGGTCAGGAAGATCCCCTGGAGAAGGAAATGGCAACCCACTCCAGAGAATTTCATGGACAGAGGAGCCTGGCAGGCTACAGTCCGTAGAGTCTCAAAGAGTCAGACACAGCTGAAGTGATTTAGCAAACATGAATCAACAAACATAAAAAGAAAAATCAACAGTAACATAATAATATTAGAGGACTTTAACACCCCACTTATATCAATGGATAAGATCATCCACATAGAAAATGAATAAGGAAACACTGGCCTTAAAAATACATTAGAACAAATGGACTTAAATCAGTATTTATAGAGCATTCCATCCAAAAGCAGAAGACACATTCTTTTCAAATGCATATGGAACATTCTCCAGGATAGACCACATGCTAGCCCACAAAATAAGCCTGAATAAATTTAAGAAAACTGAAATTATATCAAGCATCTTTTCCAACCACAGTACCATGAGGCTAGAAATCAACTATAAAAAAAAACCAGAAAAACCACAATATGGGAGGCTAAACAATATACTATTAAACAACCAATGGATCACTGAAGGAATGTATAACTGAATCACTTCGCTGTACAGAAGAAATTAACACATTGTAAATCAATTATGCTTCAATTAAACAACAAAAAAATATGCTGATTAAAGAAATCAAAGGTGAGACAAACCATGTTCCTGGATTGGAAGAAACAACATAGTCAAAATGACTATAAGGCAATCTACAGAATCAATGCAAGCCCCTTCAAGTTACCAATGGCATTTTTTTTACAGAAGTAGGACAAAATAAATCTTAAAGATTTGTATGGAGACACAAAAGACCCCAAATAGCCAAAGCAATCTTGAAAAAGAAAAGTGGAGGTGGAGGAATCATGTGCCCTGGCTTCTGACTATACAAAAAGCCATAGTCATCAAAACAGTATGGTATTGGCACAAAAATAGAAATACAGGTCAATGGAGCAGGTTAGAAAGACCAGAAATAAACCCATGAACCTACGGTCAATTAACCTATGACAAAAGAGACAAGACTATACAATGGAGGAAAGACAGTTGCTTCAATAAATGGTGCTGGGAAAACTGGACAGCTACATGTAAAAAAATGAAATTATAACTTTCTCTAATACTTACACAAAAATAAACTGAATTAAAAACCTAAATGTGAAACTGAACAGTACAAAACGATTAGAGGAAAAAACAGGCTGAACACTGACATAAATTGCAGCAGTATCTTTTTCAACCTGTCTCCCAGAGAAATGGAAATAAAAAACAAACAAATGGGACCTAGTTAAACTCAAAAGCATATACACAGCAAGTTCAGTTCAGCTCAGTTGCTCAGTCATGTCCAACTCTTCACAACCCCATGGACTGCAGCACGCCAGGCCTCCCTGTCCATCACCAACTCCCTGAGCTTACTGACTCATGTCCATTGAGTCAGTGATACCATCCAACCATCTCATCCTCTGTCA